AGAAGCTCTGTTTGCTTTGTGCAGACACTGGAGAAATTCATGTTTACACCTCAGAATCCTAAGTCAGCTAACAAGGTTGATATGGAGTTCAGATTTATTAAAGGTAGATGTTTTGTTCTGTTTTTGAAACAGCAGATGTGTGTAATGTTATATGATTTCTTTTGGGTACAATGGATTTTACATCATGATATTGTCTATATGATCAAATGTGAAGGTCAAAAGCACACTAAGGAAGATCCAACAAAAGAGAAACCACCTCCAGCATTGCTTAATCTTACTGATAGACAGGTAATATGAAGATTCATTGCTTCCCCTCCCCTCTCCTCCTCTTTCTCTTCTATCTCTGTAACTGTTGAATTGATTGATGAAATTTCTTTATTATTCTAGGGTGGGAGCTACATCTTTCAGTTTGACAATTTTTCTGATCTCCAACATTGCCGAGATTTTGTGGGTAAGCTTTAGTTGATAAATATTTTCATAGTTTTCATTCATTTCATTCTATTCTCTCTTTTCCGAAATTGCCATCTTAAGTTTTGAAATTTTTTTCATCTATTAATTGAAGCAATGTCAATATTTCTATGTATCCTTAGTGAGAGTCATCAAAATGTTAGTGTTTTTAGCTTTTTGCTTCCTTCTTCCATATCCCTTTCAGCTCCTCTTTTCTTGACAAGTATCAAAGTTTTCTGTATTGGAGATTCTCATTTAGAATGTGCCTTTTCTTTTTCCCATATTTTCCTTTCTACATTTTTGCTGCTTTCTGCTTTGCATTGATCTAGTCTTATTTTGAAACAATCAATACTTATGTCTTCTGGTCACTGTCTCCTATGAAGGCAAAGTCCTTTCAAAGAGTGGAGAGGTTTCTGAAAGACCTACTGTTACATGTGCTGATGAACAACTCAGTACAGCAGAGATGGAACTTCGTATGAAGCTACTTCAGGAGGATAGGTAAATATATTTGTCTTAAGAGAAAGCTTTCATTTTTATTACCCTTTTGATGGCATGGAAGCTTCTGTGTACCCAATCATATGTGGTCTGGGGCCCTAGAACCTTAGTTTTAGGTTGTACAATGTTTTCCTTATGATGTCTTCTGCATTCAGGAAAGCAAAACAAGAAACAAAATGTACAACTAATTGGAGTTTCCTGGTACCAAGTTGTTAACATAGCTGTGGTTTGTGTTTTTTTTTTTTTTTTTTTTTTTGGCCATGAAAGACTATTTAAACCAGTTTCTTATTAGATAAAGCCTAAATATTATATCTTAACAGTTAACAGCTGAGCATGAAGTTTGAAATTCAATGTACCACTTGCAAGACTGTTACTGGGTATAACATTTTTCCTGAGGCTGATAAGTAAACTGTTAAATTTGTCCTCCGCAGTGAGTTGCAGAAACTTCACAGGCAATTTGTAATAGGGGGTATCTTGACAGAAGCTGAGTTTTGGGCAACACGGAAGGTTAATTTTCTTTCTAGAAGCAGTTGAGCACATTTAAATCTTTCAAAATTAAGTATTTCCACCTTCTGAGGAACGTCTGGTGAAAGCTTCCACTTATTTTCAATTGCAGAAGTTGCTAGATAGAGAGGCCAGCAAAAAGGCAAAACAACGTGTGGGTTTCAAAAGTGCTATGCTTTCTGACATCAAAGGGTCAAGTGATGGTCGGGTACAGACTCTCCATCCCTTTCCTTTCCTCCCCTCCTCACCTCAACCCACCTGCCTCCTATCTCCTTCAAGAAACAAACACCATTCACCTTATTTCTCATTGCCTGTGTGTGTTTCTCTGCACTAGCAGGATCAATTCTTTCTTACTGTTTTCCTTTTTCCCTTCTTTTAATGATCTTTTTCTGTTAATTGGACCACACAAAACCATATGACTTTTTTTTGGGTATTTGCAGACAAACAAAGTCACATTTAGTTTGACACCAGAGATCATACTTCAGGTATGGTAACTTCTACAATGTTGTCTAAAGACTCAAAACTGATTTCTGTTTTTAAAATTGGTGGTCAAACATGTATGTAAATATGAATCATGTTTCTAAGCATGGCCTTGGCTCTCAGATGCCATAGGGACTAATGCTCAGTGATTTTGATAGATTTTTGCCGAGAAGCCAGCTGTTCACCGAGCATTCCTAAGTTTTGTTCCGAACAAGGTATGAGAAAATTTGAGACAGTTTTATTCTTCCAGCAGGTGCACTAGTCAGTAATCTTTTTTACTGTTTTCTTGGTTGTCTTTGGATGAACATCAAGTTCCACTAATGTCTCATTCAGCTCTGTTTCTGTTTATCTTTCCCACAATCTAGATGTCAGAAAAGGATTTCTGGACAAAATATTTTAAAGCAGAAGTCCTACATAGTACAAAAAATGCTGTTGCTGTTGCAGCAGAGGCTGCTGAAGATGAGGATCTTGCTGTTTTTCTCAAGAGGGATGTTATATTGGAAAATGAGGCTCGTAGGAAGGTGCTTTGTTCTTGGAAATTTAGAAGTTTGTTTATTTCAGATTTTCTTATGTTTGAATTTGCTGCCCTACTTCATTTTCTCCTGTGAATTTGATAACCTATCTCAGATAAGACGAGTTGATCCAACTGTGGACATGGAAGCGGATGAGGGAGATGATTATACACATCTTCCGGTATGTTGGATGACATCATTATTAAGTTCAATTTATTCATTCTTTTGTTATTTCAAGGGTGTTCTTTTCTTTTCTTTTATTCTCTCTCTCTCTCTCTCTCTCTCTCTTTTGGTTCACTCTTTTTCTTTATATTCTGTTTCAGAATGATATGTATTCTTTCACTATCATATGTGCTTGAAAAATGATTTTAAGAGGGGACAGAACAAGGTCCAGTTCCAATTCTATCTGAATTGGCATATTAGGTTTTGTGACTTGAAGCACACTAACTACTAACTAGGAAACTATCTAAGCATGAAGGGAGAAATGTTTAATCAACAGGAAGTATTCACAGTAGTTGGGATTTTCCTATAAAGAGTGTGATTTTATCCTTTCAATCTTTTGAACTCTATTTTGTGTAATAAGCTATTGTTTTCCGGTAAATGGGTCTATTAGTTTGTCTTTATGAGAATTTTCCTGGGTGGTCGTGATTTGGTTTGACATGATAGTGGCTTTTTATTGAAATGTCTCTCCATGTTTTTTGTAATCTTTGGTTGCATTTCTTCATATGCAGGATCATGGAATTGTTCGCGAGGGTAGTAAGGAGGTAACTGAATCACAGCAAGAGCTATACAGAAGAAATTTGTCTCAAGATATTAACAGGCACGCTGCAGTTGTTCTTGAAGGAAGAGCTGTAGGTAAGGCTTCATTTGTTAGCTGTGGCATTTATCTTTCCCTCTTGAAGATAGACCCAGTGCCCTCAAATGTCTACTTTTCTTGTAATGTGGATGTAGATGTGGAGTTGGAAGACACAAGGGCTATAGCAGAGGCACTTTCCCGGTCAAAACAGGGTTAGCTTGGTTTTTTGTTTTAGTTAAATTAAACCCTATTATTTTATGCAGCACTCACTCTCAAATGTTCATGCTATGTATATCATCAGTTAATGGAGAATCTGATAAAGATTCAAACCAGGAGAAGTTGGATAGGATATCAAGAATGACTGAGATAGAAGATCTTCATAACTCGCATGATCTTCCACTTGCTCCACTTTGCATTAAGGTGACTCGTTTAACATCATGTGCTTCTAGTAGATTGTTGCTCTATAGGTAGATATTATATATTTGTGTTGCTGAAACTAGGATCCTCGGGACTATTTTGATTCACAACAAGCTAATGCACTTAGAAGTTCTGGAGATCTGTTGCCTGGAAATGAACAAATAAAATGCAACTTGAGCACCCATGAAGCATATGGCTCTTTGAGAGATTCCATCTCAGCGATCAAAAGGGGGGGCCTTAAGGATCCTATTGTTAAACCTGAAATTGCTTTTCAGGTAACACTGGTTTTGTTTGTGCCCTTGTTAATATTGCAAGCCATAATGCACAACTGGGCTAATATGTTCTTAAAATTGCATCACATAATTGTCTGAATGGTGATGTAGGTTTTTGATGCTTTGACCCACAGTATCTCTACTACCAAATATAACATTGGGAGGAATCCTCAGGAGAGTATATTGGACACATTGCCAAAGAAAACAAAAGAGGAACTGTTGCATGTAAGTTGTGTGATTTTAATGCATATATGTTGGCTTCTTTTTACCTGCAGGCAGAACACTTGTTCAACTCTGCAGGTGTATTCAACATGACAATTTAATTTGTAGATTCTGGTTAGTTTCTAGTTTCATTTTCTAAAGAAAACTCTCTATCATTACAGCATTGGACATCGATAATAGAATTGCTGAGGCACTTCTGGTCATCATACCCCCTTACCACGACTTATCTTTATAACAAGGTAAGCAAAGCTCTTGACCTTTCCAGCATTGGACATCACTAATAGAACTGCTGAGACACTTCTTGTTATCTTATCATCAACAAAACAAATCTTCACTACCAAGGTAAATGCCATACCTAATGAGGTGTCAGATCATAACTGAACCCTTTTTTTGGTTGGGCACATCACATCCTTACTTGCTAAGCACTACATTTTTTTTTCTTGGCCAAAAAAACTTACCAAGGCATTACTTGATTAATTATTGGAAATTAGAGATTGGCAGATTATTTCATTTTAGTTATGGGATGGTCAAGTTTTCTAGTGAAAATGTTTTAGATTTTGAAAAATGTTTTGAATGTTCTAATGGAGATTTACAGCTCCACCCCTTCCTGCAAAACAACAACAAAAACACCTAAGTCTGGCTACAGGAAGGTGTTTATTGATTGAGGAAGCAACAATGAAGAGCTACATATTGTGTCGTCAAGAAGCTTTCTTCTAAGAGGGATTTTAGATAAAATGAGAATTAAAAAAAAAAAAGGGGGACATTTGAGTGGGGCATGGTTCTATAATTCTATTAATATGATTAACTTTTCATGGTCATTAAGTTCATTGGGATTATATTCCTAATTTTCTGTTCATTCTTCTACCATATGTAGGTAAGCAAACTGAAGGATGCCATGTCACAAATTTATCGCCAGCTAGAGGTAGCTCTTTAGAAAAAGTCCTCTTCTTTACTTAATCTCTGGTTTCCCTTTCTGCATTTTTAATACTCAATGTTCTGTAATCCTTATGCGAAATTCCAGGATATTAAGGGCACTGTCCAGGCAGACTTTCGGCACCAGGTTTCCCTCCTTGTTCGCCCAATGCATCAGGTGAGAACCTTTAATTCCTCTTTGTCTAAAGAAAAAGATGCCATGGTAAAGGGGTGAATCAGCAATAGGTCATATGAATGGCTACATGACTTGGGTCAAAACTCCAGCAGCTGCTGTTTGGACACCACCTTTGGGTTCTTATCTGAACGTTGCACATAAACAAGATTTGTTCTTACATAAAATGACCAAAACGTATAACATTTTGTGTTATGTGCTTGCAACTTAATGCCAAAAACTCATATAAGTATGATCTGGTGCAGGCTCTAGATGCTGCTATTCAACATTATGAATCAGACATGCAGAAGAGATCCGCCAAGAGTGGAGAGAGACCAAATGGACATACATAGGAGGGAATTTCAGTATAGTGTTATGCCTTTTACATATAACTGCAAATTAAACCAAATTTTGTTGTGAAAGGGGGATTTTAGCTTTTTTTTCCTTGATATCATATAAAAAACATACCAACAAACCAAATTGGGAAATGATGAATTTTTTTTTTTTCCAAAATCAAATAGATAATATGAGAGGCTGCATTGATGCATAGGAATATTGTATGTGTCTGTTAACAAAGCTTCCTGTGTCTAATCCAATACGAAGTCCAACTTGACATTCTCCAGGCAAGGTACCTCATTATCAACCAAATTCCGGGCATAGTTGAAAGATTCATCCTTATGCCTATGCTAACAACTAATTTGGAAGCTTCCATAGAATTGATAAAATCCGGAAATACATTAGATAAAATAAATGTGAAAATTGATAAAATCTATCAAATTCAAAACTTCTGCTGCCAAAACCCCTATTACAAGTTGTTAGAAATTTGAATGAAGGAATCAAGTTGGAATCTTTGATAAAAGTGATTTGAAAAAGGAAGCATCCATTGTTGAATAGATGCTGTCACAC